ACCGTTACTGAGGGCCACAGAACCGTTACTTAGGGCCACAGAATTGTTACTCAGAGGACAGACACAGAATTGTTACTCAGGGACACAGAATTGTTACTGAGGGCCACAGAACCGTTACTTTAGGGCCACAGAATTGTTACTCAGGACACACAGAAATTGTTACTGAGGGACACAGAACCGTTACTTAGGGCCACAGAATTGTTACTCAGGGACAGACACAGAATTGTTACTTAGGGCCACAGAAACGTTACTCAGGGACACAGAATTGTTACTGAGGGCCACAGAACTGTTACTTAGGGCCACAGAAACGTTATACTTACTCAGGGACACAGAATTGTTACTCAGGGACACACAGAATTGTTACTGAGAGGGCCACAGAATTGTTACTTAGGGACCACAGAAACGTTACTGCAGGGACACACAGAATTGTTACTGAGGGCCACAGAATTGTTACTTAGGGCCACAGAAACGTTACTTTACTCAGAATTGTTACTCAGACACAGAATTGTTACTCAGGGACACAGAATTGTTACTGAGGGCCACAGAAACGTTACTTAGGGACAGACACAGAAATGTTACTTACTCAGGGGACACAGAATTGTTACTGAGGGCCACAGAACCGTTACTTAGGGCCACAGAATTGTTACTCAGGGACAGACACAGAATTGTTACTGAGGGACACAGAATTGTTACTGAGGGCCACAGAACCGTTACTTAGGGCCACAGAAATTGTTACTCAGGGACACAGAATTGTTACTGAGGGCCACAGGGACCACAGAATTGTTACTTAGGGCCACAGAAATTGTTACTCAGGGACACAGAATTGTTACTCAGGGCCACAGAATTGTTACTGAGGGCCACAGAATTGTTACTTAGGGCCACAGAAATTGTTACTCAGGGACAGACACAGAATTGTTACTACTTGTTACTGGGGACACACAGAATTGTTACTGAGGGACCACAGAATTGTTACTTAGGGCCACAGAATTGTTTACTCAGGGACACAGAATTGTTACTGAGGGCCACAGAATTGTTACTTAGGGGGCCACAGAATTGTTACTCAGGGACACAGAATTGTTACTGAGGGACACAGAAGAATTGTTACTGAGGGGCCACAGAATTGTTACTTAGGGCCACAGAATTGTTACTCAGGGACAGAACAGAATTGTTACTGAGGGACACAGAATTGTTACTGAGGGGCCACAGAACCGTTACTTAGGGCCACAGAAACGTGTACTCAGGGACCACAGAAGAGGACACAGAGAATTGTTACTGAGGGCCACAGAACCGTTACTTAGGGCCACAGAATTGTTACTCAGGGACAGACACAGAATTGTTACAGAGGGACACAGAATTGTTACTGAGGGCCACAGAACCGTTACTTAGGGACCACAGAAATGTTACTCCAGGACACAGAATTGTTACTGAGGGCCACAGAACAGAAATTACTTAGGGCCACAGAAATTGTTACTCAGGGACAGACACAGAATTGTTACTCAGGGACACACAGAATTGTTACTGAGGGCCACAACCGTTACTTAGGGCCACAGAATTGTTACTTCAGGGACAGACAGAATTGTTACTTACACAGGACACACAGAATTGTTACTGAGGGACACAGAACCGTTACTTAGGGCCACAGAATTGTTTACTCAGGGACACAGAATTGTTACTGAGGGACCACAGAAATTTTACTTAGGGCCACAGAATTGTTACTTCAGGGCCACACAGAATTGTTACTCAGGGACACAGAATTGTTACTGAGGGAACCACAGAACCGTTACTTAGGGCCACAGAAAATTGTTACTTAGGGACACAGAAATTGTTACTGAGGGACACAGAATTGTTACTGAGGGCCACAGAATTGTTACACTTAGGGCCACAGAAATTGTTACTCAGGGACAGACACAGAATGTTACTGAGGGACACACAGAATTGTTACAGGGAGGGCCAGAATTTGTTACTTAGGACAGACACAGAATTGTTACTCAGGGACAGACACAGAATTGTTACTCAGGGACAGACAGAATTGTTACTGAGGGCCACAGAAATTGTTACTTAGGGCCACAGAAACGTTACTTAGGGACACAGAATTGTTACTGAGGGACACAGAGAATTGTTACTTAGGGCACAGAATTGTTACTCAGGGACAGACACACAGAATTGTTACTGAGGGACACAGAATTGTTACTTAGGGCCACAGAAACCGTTACTCAGGGCCACAGAATTGTTACTGAGGGCTCAGGACAGACACAGAATTGTTACTCAGGGGACAGACACAGAATTGTTACTGAGGGACACAGAATTGTTACTGAGGGCCACAGAAACAGAGAATTGTTACTCAGGGACCACAGAATTGTTACTGAGGGCCACAGAATTGTTACTTAGGGCCACAGAATTGTTACTTAGGGACACAGAATTGTTACTCAGGGACACAGAATTGTTACTGAGGGACACAGAATTGTTACTTAGGGCCACAGAAACAGAATTGTTACTCAGGGACAGACACAGAATTGTTACTCAGGGACAGACACAGAATTGTTACTGAGGGACACAGAATTGTTACTGAGGGCACAGAATTGTTACTCAGGGACACAGAATTGTTACTCAGGGACAGACACAGAATTGTTACTCAGGGACACACAAATTGTTACTGAGGGACACAGAATTGTTACTTAGGGACCACAGAATTGTTACTGAGGGACAGAATTGTTACTCAGGGAGGGACACAGAATTGTTACTTAGGGCCACAGAGAATTGTTACTCAGGGCCACAGACACAGAATTGTTACTGAGGGACAGACACAGAATTGTTACTGAGGGACACAGAATTGTTACTGAGGGCCACAGAACCGTTACTTAGGGCCACAGAATTGTTACTCAGGGACAGACACAGAATTGTTACTGAGGGACACACAGAATTGTTACTGAGGACACAGAACCGTTACTGAGGGACACAGAATTGTTACTCAGGGGACACAGAATTGTTACTGAGGGCCACAGAACCGTGTTACTTAGGGCCACAGAATTGTTACTCAGGGACACAGAATTGTTACTCAGGGACACAGAATTGTTACTGAGGGCCACAGAATTGTTACTTAGGGCCACAGAAACGTGTTACTGAGGGACAGACACAGAATTGTTACTCAGGGACACAGAACAGTTTACTCAGGGACAGACACAGAATTGTTACTGAGGGACACACAGAATTGTTACTGAGGGACACAGAATTGTTACTTCAGGGCACAGAATTGTTACTCAGGGACAGACAGAATTGTTACTCAGGGACACAGAATTGTTACTGGAGGGACACAGAATTGTTACTCAGGGACAGACAGAGAATTGTTACTGAGGGACACAGAACTGTTACTGAGGGCCACAGAACCACTTTACTCAGGGCACAGAATTGTTACTCAGGGACACAGAATTGTTACTGAGGGACACAGAATTGTTACTGAGGGACACAGAATTGTTACTTAGGGACAGACACAGAATTGTTACTGAGGGCCACAGAATTGTTACTGAGGGACCACAGAATTGTTACTTAGAGGGACAGACCACAGAATTGTTACTTAGGGACACAGAATTGTTACTGAGGGACACACAGAATTGTTACTCAGGGACAGACACAGAATTGTTACTCAGGGACAGACACAGAATTGTTACTGAGGGACACAGAATTGTTACTTAGGGCCACAGAATTGTTACTTAGGGCCACAGAATTGTTACTCAGGACACACAGAATTGTTACTGAGGGCCACAGAAACACTGAGGGACACACACAATTGTTACTCAGGGACACAGAATTGTTACTGAGGGGACACACAGAATTGTTACTGAGGGACACAGAATTGTTACTGAGGGACAGACAGAAATTGTTACTGAGGGCCACAGAACTGTTACTTAGGGCCACAGAACTGTTACTTAGGGCCACAGAAACGTTACTCAGGGACACAGAATTGTTACTCTCAGGGACACAGAATCGTTTAATTAAAGAGTATGTCAGACAACATGCAGAGGAGTGGCAGAGGAGGCAATGTTTTAGGAGCGAGCAGACGTGGCAGCAGAGGAAGGGGTCGAGGCAGCACTATTCGCAGCCAGAGGCTAGTGCTCCCGGTGTCATCCAGTACAGTGAGGAAGAGCTAACAGAGGGCGGTCAGGAACGGGGGGAGACATCCGCCTCTTCAGCAGCCAGGCGAAGAAGTAGTGGCGAGGAGAGTGGCTCGGTAGCCGGTCTAGAGACAGGTCTGTCTCCTGACCCACACGCAGCCGAGGGGGCTAGTAGTGAGGCGGAGACCCTAATTGATGATGATGAGGCTGATCGCACTTGGCAGCCTCGTCGTCATCAGGCTATTGCTTCCGCATCATCAGGAGAAGAGGGTGGCAGCTTGGCAGCGAGCAAAACAGTCGGTGGGTTGTCTCCATCGCCACACTCTGCCATGTGCCACTTTCAGGTCTCCTCACACACTGCTGGTGTGTTTGAATTTTTTTGACATAGGGTGCTGGCAGATTACGGGCCTCCCATAGCTGCTGCCAGGCCCCTAATCTGCCATGGGCCCCTATATACCGCCTCCTCATGCCTGCCTCCAAGTCATGCTGCTCATGGTCCACAGTCTCTCCATTGCTGCTGTCTCCATCGCACACTCTGCCACCATGTGCCACTCAGGTCTCCTCACACACTGCTGGTGTGTGTTCAATTTTTTTGACATAGGGTGCTGGCAGATTACGGGCCTCCCATAGCTGCTGCCAGGCCCCTAATCTGCCATGGGCCCCTATACCGCCTCCTCATGCTGCTGCCAGGTCCAGAGTCTCTCATGGGTCCCTGTACGGCCTCCCATTGCTGCTGTCTCCATCGCCACACTCTGCCATGTGCCACTTTCAGGTCTCCTCACACACTGCTGGTGTGTTCCATTTTTTTGACATAGGGTGCTGGCAGATTACGGGCCTCCCATAGCTGCTGCCAGGCCCCTAATCTGCCATGGGCCCCTATATACCGCCTCCTCATGCTGCTGCCAGGTCCAGAGTCTCTCATGGGTCCCTGTACGGCCTCCCATTGCTGCTGTCTCCATCGCCACACTCTGCCATGTGCCACTTTCAGGTCTCCTCACACACTGCTGGTGTGTTCAATTTTTTTGACATAGGGTGCTGGCAGATTACGGGCCTCCCATAGCTGCTGCCAGGCCCCTAATCTGCCATGGGCCCCTATATATATACCGCCTCCTCATGCTGCTGCCAGGTCCCAGAGAGTCTCTCATGGGTCCCTGTACGGCCTCCCATTGCTGCTGTCTCCCCATCGCCACACTCTGCCATGTGCCACTTTCAGGTCTCCTCACACACTGCTGGTGTGTTGAATTTTTTGACATAGGGTGCTGGCAGATTACGGGCCTCCTCCCATAGCTGCTGCTGCCAGGCCCCTAATCTGCCATGGGCCCCTATATACCGCCTCCTTCATGCTGCTGCCCAGGTCCAGAGTCTGTCATGGGTCCCTGTACGGCCTCCCATTGCTGCTGTCTCACATCGCCACACTCTGCCATGTGCCACTTTCAGGTCTCCTCACACACTGCTGGTGTGTTCAAATTTTTTTGACATAGGGTGCTGGCAGATTACGGGCCTCCCTCCCATAGCTGCTGCCAGGCCCCTAATCTGCCATGGGCCCCTATATACCGCCGCCTCCTCATGCTGCTGCAAGTCCAGAGTCTGTCATGGGTCCCTGTACGGCCTCCCATTGCTGCTGTCTCCATCGCCACACTCTGCCATGTGCCACTTTCAGGTCTCCTCACACACTGCTGGTGTGTTCCATTTTTTTGACATAGGGTGCTGGCAGATTACGGGCCTCCCATAGCTGCTGCCAGGCCCCTAATCTGCCATGGGCCCCTATATACCGCCTCCTCATGCTGCTGCCAAGTCCAGAGTCTCTCATGGGTCCCCTGTACGGCCTCCCATTGCTGCTGTCTCCATCGCCACACTCTGCCATGTGCCACATTCAGGTCTCCTCACACACTGCTGGTGTGTTCAATTTTTTGACATAGGGTGCTGGCAGATTATACGGGCCTCCCATAGCTGCTGCTGCCAGGCCCCTAATCTGCCATGGGCCCCTATACCGCCGCCTCCTCATGCTGCTGCCAAGGTCCAGAGTCTGTCATGGGTCCCTGTACGGCCTCCTCCCATTGCTGCTGTCTCCATCGCCACACAGCTGTGCCATGTGCCACTTTCAGGTCTCCTCACACACTGCTGGTGGTGTGTTCCATTTTTTTGACATAGGGTGCTGGCAGATTACGGGCCTCCCATATAGCTGCTGCCAGGCCCCTAATCTGCCATGGGCCCCTATATACCGCCTCCTCATGCTGCTGCCAGGTCCAGAGTCTGTCATGGGTCCCTGTACGGCCTCCCATTGCTGCTGTCTCCATCGCCACACTCTCTGCCATGTGCCACTTTCAGGTCTCCTCACACACTGCTGGTGTGTTGAATTTTTTGACATAGGGTGCTGGCAGATTACGGGCCTCCCATAGCTGCTGCCAGGCCCCTAATCTGCCATGGGCCCCTATATACCGCCTCCTCCTCAATGCTGCTGCCAGGTCCAGAGTCTGTCATGGGTCCCTGTACGGCCCCCCCATGCTGCTGTCTCCATCGCCACACTCTGCCATGTGCCACTTTCAGGTCTCTCCTCACACACTGCTGGTGTTCAATTTTTTGACATAGGGTGCTGGCAGATTACGGGCCTCCCATAGCTGCTGCCAGGCCCCTAATCTGCCATGGGCCCCTATATACCGCCTCCTCATGCTGCTGCCAAGGTCCAGAGTCTCTCATGGGTCCCTGTACGGCCTCCCCATTGCTGCTGTCTCCATCGCCACAACTCTGCCATGTGCCACTTTCAGGTCTCCTCACACACTGCTGGTGTGTTCAATTTTTTGACATAGGGTGCTGGCAGATTACGGGCCTCCCATAGCTGCTGCCAGGCCCCTAATCTGCCATGGGCCCCTATATACCCCCTCCTCATGCTGCTGCCAAGGTCCAGAGTCTCTCATGGGTCCCTGTACGGCCTCCCATTGCTGCTGTCTCCATCGCCACACTGCTGCCATGTGCCACTTTCAGGTCTCCTCACACACACTGCTGGTGTGTTGAATTTTTTGACATAGGGTGCTGGCAGATTACGGGCCTCCCATAGCTGCTGCCAGGCCCCTAATCTGCCATGGGCCCCTATATACCGCCTCCTCATGCTGCTGCCAGGTCCAGAGTCTGTCATGTCATGGTCCCTGTACGGCCTCCCATTGCTGCTGTCTCCATCGCCACACTCTCTGCCATGTGCCACTTTCAGGTCTCCTCACACACACACACTGCTGGTGTGTTGAATTTTTTGACATAGGGTGCTGGCAGATTACGGGCCTCCCATAGCTGCTGCCAGGCCCCTAATCTGCCATGGGCCCCCTATATATACCGCCTCCTCCTCATGCTGCTGCCAGTCCAGAGTCTGTCATGGGTCCCTGTACGGCCTCCCATTGCTGCTGTCTCCATCGCCACACTCTGCCATGTGCCACTTTCAGGTCTCCTCACACACACTGCTGGTGTGTTGAATTTTTTGACATAGGGTGCTGGCAGATTACGGGCCTCCCATAGCTGCTGCTGCCAGGCCCCTAATCTGCCATGGGCCCCTATATAACCGCCTCCTCATGCTGCTGCCAAGTCCAGAGTCTGTCATGGGTCCCTGTACGGCCTCCCATTGCTGCTGTCTCCATCGCCACACACTCTGCCATGTGCCACTTTCAGGTCTCCTCACACACTGCTGGTGTGTTGAATTTTTGACATAGGGTGCTGGCAGATTACGGGCGGCCTCCCATAGCTGCTGCCAGGCCCCTAATCTGCCATGGGCCCCTATATACCCGCCTCCTCATGCTGCTGCCAGGTCCAGAGTCTCTGTCATGGGTCCCTGTACGGCCTCCCATAGCTGCTGTCTCCATCGCCACACTCTGCCATGTGCCACTTTCAGGTCTCCTCACACACTGCTGTGTGTGTTCAATTTTTTGACATAGGGTGCTGGCAGATTACGGGCCTCCCATAGCTGCTGCCAGGCCCCTAATCTGCCATGGGCCCCTATATACCGCCTCCTCATGCTGCTGCCAAGTCCAGAGTCTGTCATGGGTCCCTGTACGGCCTCCCATTGCTGCTGCTGTCTCCATCGCCACACTCTGCCTTGCCATGCCACTTTCAGGTCTCCTCACACACTGCTGGTGTGTTCACTGAATTTTTTGACATAGGGTGCTGGCAGATTACGGGGCTCCCATAGCTGCTGCCAGGCCCCTAATCTGCTGGGGGGGCCATGTACCGCCCCTATATACCCCCTAATCCACCCTGTCACCCCCAACCTGCTGCCTCCTCATGCTGCTTGCCAAGTCCAGAGTCTGTCCATGGGTCCCTGTACGGCCTCCCATTGCTGCTGTCTCCATCCCACACTCTGCCATGTGCCACTTTCAGGTCTCCTCACACTGCTGGTGTGTTGAATTTTTGACATAGGGTGCTGGCAGATTACGGGCCTCCCATAGCTGCTGCCAGGCCCCTAATCTGCCATAGGCCCCTATATACCGCCTCCTCATGCTGCTGCCAGGCCAAGTCTCAGTCATGGGGTCCCTGAGTCCTCCATTCATGGGTCCCATCCCTCTGCCATGTGCCACTTTCAGGTCCTCCCACACTTGGTCTGCTGTCTCCATCGCCACATTACTGCCATGTGCCACCTGTACACTCAGGTCTCACAACACTGCTGCTGTGTGCAGTGTTGAATTTTTTGCTGCTGCCACAACATAGGGTGCTGGCAGATTACGGGGCCCCATTGCATAGCTGCCATCGCCACACTCTGCCAGGCCCTAATCTGTCCATGTAGGCCCCTATAGATTACCTCCCATAGCCTCCTCAATCTGCTGCATGGGCCCAGGTACAGTCCAGAGTCTGTCCTCATGGGTCCCTGTACGGCCCTCCCATTGCTGCTGTCCATGGTCCATCGCCACACTCTGCCATGTGCCACTTTCAGGTCTCCTCACACTGCTGGTGTGTTCAATTTTTTGACATAGGGTGCTGGCAGATTACGGGCCTCCCATAGCTGCTGCCAGGCCCCTAATCTGCCATGGCCCCTATATATACCACCTCCTCATGCTGCTGCTGCCAGGTCCAGAGTCTCTCATGGGTCCCTGTACGGCCTCCCATTGCTGCTGTCTCCATCGCCACACTCTGCCATGTGCCACTTTCAGGTCTCCTCCACACTGCTGGTGTGTTGAATTTTTTGACATAGGGTGCTGGCAGATTACGGGCCTCCCATAGCTGCTGCCAGGCCCCTAATCTGCCATGGGCCCCCCGTACCGCCTCCTCATGCTGCTGCCAGGTGCAGAGTCCTCATGGGTCCCTGTACGGCCTCCCATTGCTGCTGTCTCCATCGCCACAACTCTGCTATGTGCCACTTTCAGGTCTCCTCACACTGCTGGTGGGTTCCATTTTTGTCATAGGGTGCTGACAGATTACGGGCCTCCCATTGCTGCTGCCAGGCCTGTAATCTGCCATGGGCCTCCGTACCTGCGCCTGGTCACGCTGCTGCTGGGTCCACAGTGTGACATGGGTCCCTGTACCGCCTCCCATTGCTCCCACTCTGCCATGTGCCACTTTGAGGTCTCCTCACACTCCTGCTGGTTTCCATTTTTGTCATAGAATACTTCGCTCATCTCTAATCCCAAACATATTGTCAGGATCCACCCAGATGTCTGATTGGAAGCTGGATAAGCATCTCAGGGTGCAGCTGAAAGCCTGAGCCAGCTACATATACCCTCTCCCCAACCTGGTGCTCTAGTGAGCACTGAGCAATCAATGGTCACGTGATTTTTCAATTCCCAGTCTTAGAGCTGGTGGGGGACAGCTGCAGCATCACAGCTATGTTGCAACCATAAAGATGAGTATGCATTTTTATTTTTTTCAATTCTCATATTTCTCCTTTAATTGATTTGCCCACTGTAGACCTAGAGCTGAGTGGTTATACTGGGTTATTTACTTTGTTATACTAATGTTTAAACAGTATCTGAATTGTCTGTGTTTGCCAATGCAAATATTGGTTAGAAAAGGCTTTTTGTCTCCATAAGGCAAAATGGACAGGCGTTTTTAAGGTGCAGAGCCTGTGAAATACTTATGTCAGCTTAACATACAGTGGCTAAGTGGTTAGCACTTCAGCCTGGCAGCCTAAGGTCATCAGTTTGATTCCCAACCACAGCCCTGCCTGCCTAGAGTTTACTCATTTTCCCTGTGACTGCGTGGGTTTCCTCTGGGTATACCAGTGCCCTCCCACATTCCAATGACATTCTGGTAGGTTAATTGGCTCCTGTCTAAACTGACCCTAGTAAATTGATGTGGATGTACAACGTGTAATTGTCAGTGCCACATAAATACCTATAATAGTAAATAACATATTTTGTCATATGCAAGGTAATGCTTGCTTCTTCCATAAATTAATCAATTATCTCTTTTATAGGTACTGTATGTATTAGTGTATTTTTGCCCACATTTAAAAAAATCTTTGAAATCTACTACTTCAAATTATTAAGGCACATGTGAAGTATTATTGCTCACTCAACCAGCACTGCCACATCAGCAGCCTGAAAAAGGCTTAAGCAGTGAGTTGCAGGCATAAGATATAAGTTATAGCTCCTTTACCAGGCTGCCAATTGTGGGCAAAGCAAAAGGGTATCTTGCTCTGATTTATTAAATTGAAATGTGATGTGTACAATTTTACTTATGCCTGTCCTAGCTTGGAACTATGCTCAGGCAAATGTACTGCAGTCAACTGCTTAGTCCAATGTGATATCCACATATTTCTAATGATATCTTTAGGTTTATAAATGTGTCTTTAACAAGAGAAATATACATCATAACAAAATATGATATACAGTATATGTGAATGCAGATGCTTTTGTTTATGTCATATATACTTGTAAACAAATGAACATAGAACAATATATTTTATATTTGAATGCACATTTTTTATTTTATCTTTTTTTTAATGTAAGATAAACATACAGTATATTAAACAGATCACACATTAAAGTGATTCAAAATGATACCTTTTTTTTTTAAAATAACAAACATGTTATATTTACCTCCTCTGTGTAATGGTTTTGCACAGAGCAGCCCTGAGCCTGATGTTCTGGGGTCCCTTGCCGGTGCTCCTGCCTCCTCCCCCTATCAAGTCACTTGCTATAGGGGCATGTGTGCAGACCAGCTCCTGAGTCATGCTCTGTGAGATGAGAGCAGAGAGAGCCACTGCTCCTGTGCACACCTCAGTATTGAGATCAGGCTCAGGTAAGTATAAAGGGTGGCTGGGGGCTGCACAGGGTTTTTTTTTTTTACCATAATGCATAAAATACATTAAGGTAAAAAAAAAAACCTACTTCTTTGAAGCTCTATATATATAATATATATATAGTGTTGTAATAATATCTTTACTATCTTTAATATCTTTACATAGTTTATTTTGCTTTTTCAGTGCTACTACAATATGCTTTGCTGAGTGGTGTAAACAAAGAACAAAATATGGACAGTCCAGTAAATGCTAATTTCAAATGAAAAAGTTATAGTATGTATTTTATACAGTATACTGGTATTTTCTTTAGCATGCACATATACTTTTTTTTTTTAAGCAACCAGAAATTATTAGATAGTGTACTAGTTGACCTTCTAAGACCTACTAAAGTTTATTTAGATTTATAAATATATCCAAACATATTTCCATATTTTAGTGTCACTTGAAGCTAAAGTTGCAAGGTTCAATGAATTTCAAGGATGTTTATTAGCAGAATACATAGTCTGTTTTTTTGTCTGAAACTTTGAGACTCTACTGTTGTGAATTACACGTGGTTTTACCCTTTGACATAAGAACACTTAAAAATGCCTCATAGATCACTTAAAACTTTATTGAAAGGTTCTATCAATGATATGTTGGAACAATATCTGTCACGTGAGATGTATGCCAACAAGCATATTAAACTATACTTATTACCAGTTTCTGACAAACCTAACTTAATTTAACCAAATATTATAGTTATTAATATTTGAGCAATGTATCTACAACCTCTGTATCTTGGTGTAATATTTATTAATAGAATAACCAATAGTAGACCACGCCATATGTATATATTGCAGTGGGACAGCCGCTCTACGCAGGATCATGCACACGCTCGTGATCCAGAATTTCTGGTTAGAGGAGGGCATAAACACACCCTCTGCTCCATCTGTGCTGTGATTCAGTACAGCAAAAGCCATTTAGCAGGTCTCGGACAATGATTTATGGCCAGGACCTGCTGAGCAGCTTAGCGAATCCCAGTACAGAGCCATGTGTTTACTAACATACAGGACTCTGTACAGATCAGAGATGGGGCTTTTTATATTTTTTACTGGATATGTTTTACAGCAGAAAGTAAAAAAAATATTGGGTTTTTTTTCAGATTTTTCAGTCTTTTTTTCAATTATCTAATAAAAACTTAAAAAAACAGCAGTGATCACATACCACCAAAACAAAGATCTGTTTGTGTAAAAAAAATTGATATAAATTTAATTTGGGTACAGGGTTGCAGAAAAGTAAGTAAAGTAGAAAGTGCCTAAAAGCAAAAAATGCCCTGTTAATGAAGGGGGTAAAATCTTTCAGCACTTAAGTGGTTAAATGATCTTTTTACTATCTTTCAACAGTTACAAAGGATGGTTCATTGAAACAATTTGATACATTGGAAAATTAGCGGAAAGCACTTGCACCTTGATATTCTAATTGTTTTAGCTACCTATAATAATCCATCAAGTTCAAAGCTTGCACTGAATCAGGTTCATTAATAGATAACAGGTATCCAGGATATTTTAAGTGCTCCATTGCTATGCCCCACTTTCAGAATCTGCAACAAAGTTTGTTAAAATCCCTGCAATGTACATTGATCCCCCAGAAGGGAATGTTTTTATTTAAAAAAAAGTACTCTTTAAGCTTTCCATGTCTATAAATGCCAGAATTACCTATTCTCATAGACATTATGTAATGTAAACTACGGATGGGCCCCACAGTTCTATCCGAACACAGTCCAAGCACCTTGTCCAAATATTGAGGAGGACAAGGGTCTCTCCTCTACAACCCTGGCCAACCGGTTGTGGGGTTCTGCAGAGGAGAGGCTTATCAAAATCTGGAAGCCTCTTTTAACAATAAGGGGGCACCCAGATATGGCCCCTCCATGTGTGTAGGAGTACCCCTACACATTCACACAAACAAGTAAACGGTAAATAAAAAAGCTTACAAGCTTTAACTTACACTTCATGAAAAAAACTTGCTACAATGTACATCCATCATCAATTACATCAGTCTGTGATGCAGATCCATGTCAATCACAGTAAACAACACCCCCCCCCCCCCCAACTCTTTGAAAGAAAAAAAAAAACTGCTAACACATCCCATCTCTGTAGCTGCTCACTCACCAATGAAATCTCCAGTGGATGACAAATGACGTTTCCCAGGTGCACTCTGTGTTAATGAGGATAAGGGGCTCTTACCCACAACTCTGGCCAGAGGTTTTAGGGGTCTGTAGACCAGGGTTTATCAGAATCAGGTAGCTCCCTTTAACAATAAGGGGGCACCAAGATACCAGTCCTATGCATTCACAAAAACAGTAAACAGTAAATAAAAACACAGTTTTTGCTTCATTTTTAGGAAGTCCTACAATGTGTATCCATTATCAATCACATTATCCAGCAATACAGATCCATGTCAATCACTATGAATGATGCCCTCCAACCCACCAAAGGAAAAAAACCTACTGACTGCCAACATGTCCAATCCCAATGACTGCTCGCCCAACAAATGAAAGCTCTGGTCAATTGACAGCTTGTGTAAACAATTGGGGGGGGTGTCTAAGAAGATTATAATTGACCAAATACGGGCATGAACATATTTAATTAGTTATGTTATGGGAATCATTGGACCAGGAGAGGTAAAGAACATTTAACCAATAGAGACAATAAAGCCGCATTCCTGGCCTCGACTGTCAATCACCGGGTCCCAGATGGTGATTTCTCGCCGCCACCCAGTGATTGTCAAGTATCTCCGATGGGGGAGAGACCTGTCTATAAACAACACAGATCTCTCCCCTGTCAGCTCCCGCAGGCTGCTTTGTATGGCTCTGCATAGCTGGGAAACACAGCACTCAGCCTCATTGTAAAATAGTACACAGCACACAGTTAACCCATTGATTGCCCCACATGTTCACCCCTTCCTGCCCAGTGCCATTAGTATAGTGTCAGTGCTTTTTATTTATTTCAGGTAATTTTATAGCACCGTCAATTTTCGCAGAGCTTTACATACATATATTGTACATTCATATCAGTCCCTAACCCTCTAGGAGCGTACAATATTAAGTCCCTAACTCACTTTCATACATATACATACTAAGGCCAATTTAGACAGGAGCCAACTAACCTATCAGCATGTCTTTGGAGTGTGGGAGGAAAACAGAGTACCCGGAAGAAGCCTACGCAGTCCCAGAGAGAAAATGTAAACTCCAGGCAGGTGGCGCTGTGGTTGGTATTCGACCAGCGACCCTAGTACTGCATGGTGGAAGTGCTAACCATTTAGCCACTGTTCACTGTATTAGTGTCACTAGGGCTGTCAGTGACACCAA